AACTCCTTTTAAACTGGAGACAAATGAACTGTAGATGTTTCCCAGTGTACTGTTAAACTGTTTCGCTATCGAATGCTATCGTGTTTGAAAGGATCCCCATCCCAATGAAGCGAAAACACCAAAGAACTCAACTATTTCTGCAGTCACGTCCCAATTATTTTCGTTTTGGATATAGGTTTAAGGTTCGAACCATGATCAAACCTGCTGAATTGTTACACTCAGAACACTGTTATTTATTTCTGTTCATATTTGGTCGATTTCATGTTTGTACTTTTTAATTCCCGAAAAGTATGGGTTTTCATTACAGAAATGACTTTCAAATCTATATTCATGCCATAAAACCACAGCGTACAGTGTAGGTACAGTTTAAGGGAGCGGTAAGGAGAACCTTAAATCGCTTCAGGCTTGTTTAATAAATTGACATACATGTGTATTAATGTCTGGTACGTTGACCTGAACGTTTTAATTATAGAAAAACCTGTCAGCGAGAATTTGACAACAAACTATCAATACACACCGATACACAATCTACGCGAGCATAGCACCACGGTATTATATGCGAGGCACCGGACGGAATACAATTAAGGGCCCTAAGCGTGTTGGTGCTTGAAAAACACAGTTGCCTCTATGGTTTTAAAAACTGATGAGCAGTCTTTTCTAAAATTGTTGAACTACAATTTAATTTAAAATACAAACAGAGGGTATTTAAAAGAAAATATTGACAGTGGCAGTTCTCCAAATTAGTTTAAAATAGAAATAGCGCGTGACAGGGCTCAGAACAACTACCAAAACTCCGTCTGTATTGCTTAATTTATTATCTGAAAGTTTGGCAAAATGACTTTGCATACACTCCTTTGACCTACTAGTTATAGACCTTGTCAATACCACGTCTTAGTAAGGCTTTTTTTTTCTATTTTAGGCAGTTGTTCAAACATAATCCTAATTAGAGACAGGACACTAATGGTAAATGAAATTAAAAGATCATTGCAAATGTAATCTATTTTTAATTATTTGTGTGATCAAAAGTGAGCTGTACTAATTATATGCCACAGTAAGGTAAATAATCCATAAAAATCATTTATATTATATCAACAGGATATATTTTAAAAAAGACATCTTGAACCCTTAAGAGAATGTAGTTCTATTCATGATGATTTCTGTATAATCTGGAAATTGTTGAGGCATTACCAACGATAGAAACAAGTCTCCATTCCTTGTAGACATGTACACTATCAAAGTACGGTTTAGACGTAGGAGTCTCATCGTAATTGGATTTAAGTTATTCAATGACAAATAACAAATAGAATAGCTATTTATGTTGCTGAATGCGACCTTACAATGTCACAAGAGTCCAATAGTGTTCCAAAAGTGTGAAATACCATTGGTGTTTCTTCAAAGTAATTGACCATAATGGTTTCGGTATATTGTGTCATCAAATGTGATTATCAACCAGTCTATCCGATATTCCCAAAACAGTCCTAAGATAGTTTTATACCGCATGTCACGCTAAAAACAGCGTTTTTGTTTTCGAACTAATGAACCAGATATATAAAGAAACGTGTTGCATGTCGTACCCATAAATAGTGTCTACTCCAAATCAGACATAAACTTCAGAATAATCTGCTGGCTATAAATCAAGTCTTTTGAGACCACACTAAAAAGGAACATGTTGATATAACATTTTCGAATGATTTTAAAGTCAGTTTAAAATGTCATTTAATCTAGTTTCTTCCAATGAACTACAGTCATGGGTTTAGTTAGGAATAGGGATATTATCTACCTTTCTAATTCAACGTCGTTGGATTATCGGTATCGTGGTGATATGTTTCCCTTTGGTAAAAAATCCCCTTATTTCTTCCACAGCTACAATAGGTTTCAACACTTCTGACTCACTGGAAAGAACGCCTAGGAGTTAGTGAACACGTTTGGTTACCCACTTGTGAGTAACATGAGGATGTGATTTAAATAGTCAATCGTCTAATTATGACGTCAATAACAATGTTTTGCGACGTCATTTCCCCGATTAAAAACTGGAATAATGTATTCCAAATAGGAAAATGTGGTTTTCTAGATGTTATATCTGGATGATGTGGTAATAAAATGGTCCCGAAAGTCGCAATGGTTGATTATCAATTTTATGTAACTCGATTTAGTTAATTTGCAAATTGAATAACGACACGAGGTTTGATTTCTCGATTTGGCAAAATAATCACCCACCACTCGTTGGGGAATCACTACGTTAACCATAAAGTTATCAACTTAGTTCAAATATCCTATCGTGAACTTCCCTTTCTTGTCAGCAACATTCCTGTTTCCCCTACCTACGGTTCTTACATGTAGCATGTAAACTGGTTCTCCAGAGCTTCCTCTGAATATCATGACTTCCGTGGGAAATTTCGACCACTGACGAACAAACTTACCACACAGGGTGTCAACACATGGAGGTTGGTAAATACGGACAAGCTTTATGGTTTCCATCACAATATTTCAGGGAAATATGCTTTTTCTTGTGTGACATAAAGGTCAATTGCATGGCAAGTGTCATCGATGAAGCAAAAAATGCTTAATCTTCCAGAACACCTGGTGATATATCTTATTTTCCCTGTTTTCGAAGGTCCCATGTAAATCCTTTTTATTTCATTTTTTATCGATTTCGATTTCGAATTATGTTTTTGTTTGAACTTCGATATTCACTTTTTTTTTTGCTCTAACAGAAATACCAAAGGCATAGCCAAGATCACATTGATGACTGGGATAAGAGGGGAATGTACCTTGTAGTTTTGATTAGATTGAAGAAAACTAATATTTAAACTCTAAGATAACCTAATATTTAAACTTTAAACTATTCATAACTAACGAACATATAACTATTTTGGCTATTTTTGGAATAAAAATTAATATCTAAACGGTTAATTTCTGATACCTGTTTTCTTACCTAGGTTCTCAAAAAATGTTACATATAACGAAAATGTTAATATTGATAAGAAGGACTTGAGTCGTGATGAATACTGAACTCGTTTAATCACCAATACCTGTACCTGTTGTTCGTGAATTCATGAAGTGAAATATAACGAAAACTCGCTATTGTAATTCAGGAATAATAAATTCGGCTTCAACAATGATAGTTGTTCAACGGCACACACAACTGAACATCAAATGAAACACAGTTCTTGCCGGAGATAGTCAAACCTTGCCTTTGTGTAAGATACAATGTAGTAGTAGTCACCTCCAAATCTTTATAGAAAACTGCTTTTAACTCCCCATTGTGAGATTTCACTTCCAGCATAGTAGTATATCGGCCTCCCCTGTTTATCGATTATGCACGGCAATGTAAATCAAACCTCGATAGCCGAATATATGTTTAATGATAACGTGGGCTATAAAAAGCGTAGCCTGGTTTCACCACCGAAACAACTTCGTTATACACTTAACGCATTTAACCGTAGTCATAGGAATATTTACTTCCGGATTAAGGGACAGTTTTGTGTGATCAGTTTTGGTTTATTTGGCGCTTGTTGGGAAAGGTCAAAATAAAAAGGGCCAAATTTGCCTTTTTAAGCTTTGAATAAAGTATCACTTCTTCCTTTCTGTACTGTTGTTATACGAGTGCTATTTCAACTGCTCCGTATGTCCTATTTTCAGTGTAGTATACGTTTGCGTACATGGTACTGCTCCGTATGTTATATAATTCTCGTTGTAGTATACGTTTGTGTAATGCTCGGTATGCTATATATTATTCGTAGGTTATTTTTTGTTGTAGTATATGATTGTGTAGTACTCCGTATATTAAATGTTCGCTGTAGTATACGTTTGTGTACTGATCCGTCTGTGATATTCCCATTGTAGCATGCGTTTGTGTACTGCTCCGTACCACCCATGAGGGTCTTCATATTATTTTTTTTAAATTCACACTCAATAACAGGATATAGCTTTGCATACAATTCCCGGGATAGTTGGTTTAAACATCCTGGTATAAACAACACGACAAGATGATTTTGTTAATGCAAAGAAAACGGAAAGATGTGTTCGCGTTCAAAGCCCAACTCCATCAAATAGGTTTATTGCTATCATGCCGTGCAACTCCAACCCACCATAACATTTAGACGAACACGACACTGGTTCTATTGGGCAGGGGACTTAAATTGCTATAAAACATTGTTTCTTGAATAAGTTCACGCTTGTGTAAAATCAGTAATAATTTGTAATCGTGTTTGTGAAATAGAAACTGCCTTTCATCAGTCTCTACCGTAATTGATCTTCAAATACTTTTTTATGTAAAACATAAAAATTGCACACTGATTCAAAACTGCAGCAAACTAATTGCAGATGGAATACATTGATATGACTTTCATTTATGCTGTTTTACACAATCGTTGTAATGGTTTGGTTTAGTTTTGTTTAACGTCCTATCAACAGCTATTGCTTTTTAAGGACGGCCTTCCCTGTGTGCAAGATGCATGCGTGTAGTGTATGAAAAACGATTATTTTATAAAAGATCAAAACATGGTTTACCGGTTAATGTGTTTTGGTTGAAAAACATTTCTGTTCCAACCAAATGTTGTCAAAAGAATCGCACGCTCATGATGCGGTGAAAAACGGCAAGAGCTTCATTTGTAGTTGGAAAGACATTTAGTTTAAGCCTGTGATAACATTAGCGAGCAACGGCGAATCACTCTATCCACAGCAAAGTAGCGGCTTTCCAGCCCTGATTAAATTACTTATGGGTAAATGACCAGTCGAGAAATTACCGTACGGATCTGTTCGATAACGCTCACCTCTTTTTGTGCTGTATTCGCCAGGCTTACTGAACCCGGCGTGATCAGCGAAACGCCCCGATACGTACTGCTCTTGGTACACAATTAGGAAGTAAAGCCATTTCCACTCTAGAACGATCTTTGAGATATCTGGAGATTGAGCTATTTGGGCAAATATAAAAACATATATGCGTTTTGTCTTAGTTACGGTAGATAGCAGTGCATTAAACAAGCTATTTTCGCTAATTGAATTATTTATTATTGACTGAAACACCATTTATGTACAAATACCATGATTGGTCACATGATCGATATCAATTAGATGAAAAAAGATACTGTCCATCATAGCTTCTTAATAACACGCCAATCATCTAGTTTCAACCCCAACAATATCGGGTCGTAAACATGTTCTGGTTCTCTGAGAGGCTATTGACAAGGATGTATCGAAAAACTGTCATTTTTCTCAAGTACCTGGAGATAACAAGATGTCAGTGATCGGCACGTGTTTCCCTCTCGAGAATCTGGCGCCGGGCGGATCGATGTTGGTATCCAGTACTTGCTGCACACTAGCTATGACAGTCGTCTGTTTATAGTACAGGAAGGATATCACAGACCTTTAATGTGAGTTGATGTGTCATAAGTATAGGATGCTACACATTTGATGGAAGGTGTAAGGTAGGTAGTTTCTACTTCACGTTTCATGTTGATCTTCTTAGTAAGTATCTGCTTTGATTTTGCTATTTTGAATTGAAACTATTTGATACGTTGGTTAAGGACTTACGCCTATTGCCGTTGTTATTAAGATTTATAATTTAATAAATGATTTATTCTGTTAAGACGTATATGTTTCTAACAAAACAGGTTAGAAATATCTGGTATATAATATTTAACTAACCGGTATGTTATACAGACATATCAAACAACTTCTGATGGGTAAAATCTCTCAAGCATAACCGAGCTAGGAAAGTATTAAGGATTTTTTAAGCGTGATTCTAACACTTGACGTTGGTACACACGTATTCAGAAACGGTAAAGTCACATTTTTTTTACTCGTAATGAAAAGGCATTGTTAGATACCAAAAGAATCAAGCAATCGCCATAAGTTTGGAGGGCAATTAACAATTCAAAGTTGCACTATATTTAGGAGTTGATCAATCTACCATTAACCGTTTGGTAAAAGAACAATAGTACAATGACGTCACTGCCTATCGTGCACACAATGGTCGCCCAAGAGTTATGACGCGACGTCAAGAACAAACTAGATGTTTAGCGTATTTGTGCAGCCGTTTTGAATTGCCGTAAAAACTGCTGAACCAATTGTTTTTGTTCCTAATGGTGTATCCATCGTATCTCAAACGGAATACATCAAAACGAATAGGAGCCTGTAAGTCAAACATCGGGATATTATTGATACCACGAGGGAACCCTTTGTTGATTAGTTGTCGTCGGGACTTTCTGGTGATCAATAACAATCCCATCAACTGTCCCCTCCCTGTCCTCTCATATTTAATTCTATTATAAACACCTGTGTGATAGATCAGACAAAGAAGCGCTCCAAAATACTGCCCGGTAGCAAACTACGTCTCCACATTGATGGCAGCGTTGGTAGAGAAGAAGGTTTAACATGCTAATTCGAAAGGTCAATGCTCTCAATAATGATATGCTTAAGCGATTAAGAACATCTATTTGGTTATACATATTATCGATATCTGAACTTTAAAATGTTCAGTTACAATTTCAGAAGTGTTCATGTGTCCTGCTTTTGCGTGATGATATTTTTTTCTGTACTTTTCCATTTTGTTTTGTTTTCAAGGTTTAACATATTGCATGCACCCATTCCTGTCATTTCTCAATAATTCCTAGTAAATAACGTTTCAAAGCATTCCAGTTTGTATACTGCCAACGATAATATATATATATATATATTTTATAAATATTGGTCATTGCTACATTTGCAGCGACAAAATTTCAGCAAAGACAGTATATTTAATTTTGCAAACTGCAAATTTTGTGAGACGATATTTAAGGCAAAGATCGTTTGCTTCAACAGAACATGAGTGCAGCTGCTGTGAGATCAAACTGTCAACAGACATGTGGGAGTGAAGCTATCACAACAGCACCATGAGGAAATGTTAAGTCTTATGAAGCATTTAGTGCTACTAAATAGTTCATTGTTTGTAAGGTCTGTAGATTGATTTGGACACTTATCTACCTTAGCTATGCCTTTCTTTACTTGACTAACAATGTTAGTATCACTAATTACCTTGAAGACGTATTCATGTGTCTGCGTTATCCAGGCAAGTCTTACGTATTGTTAATGTGCAGTTATGTCGGTTCTGTCAGACGGATAAAGGAGCATTGCTTGTTTTCATTGCCCAATGATCTCGTCCATTTCATCTGAAAAAGAAAAGCCAGGATGGTAAACTTGGCATCATTGTACTTGTACCATACACCTTGATATCCAGGCATATAAATGGCAACTCTTCTTTTCAGATATGTATGCTTTCTTCTACATAATATGCGATACCCAAATATGTTATGTTACCAATATTTTATGAGTAGCTTAACGAATTTATAAGCACATCGACATAGCGTCCAGGATGTGGTCCAGACATAAAATGTTTATTCATAGATTATTACATAAAGTGGCCGTCGAAATTCGAGCACGTGAGAAAAATGAAATCATACACATTTAAGTATTTATCAATCTCTTCTTCCACAACTTTCCACATTTTTCTTCTGCCAATCCAGCCACTCAACGGCAATTTTTTTTGGCTGAACATAATTGTTAGTCAACTAGTCGATAACGACCTTCCCCAACTTCAATTGTGTTTTAAATTCTTAACTACATAACGTGGTGGTTTGGCGATTGTAGCACTGATGATCTCCTTATTCAGTTCAAACTTTCATTTTGATGTCACATTTTAGAATCTTAATTTTTAAAAGTAGTAGTTGAACGGTAATTAAGATTTAGGTAAAGCGGTCATTATGAGTTTCTTTGAAGTAAGATAAAAAATAAAAAGGTTTTTATAGAGCTGTTTTTCATATAAATTAGCAATTTTACCCCCACAAACCTAAATTTGTAAAACATCGATGTCAATCACTCGACAATGTCATAAATATTTGGTAAAAAGAAGCATCACGATTGTTGACCGTAATGTATCATAACATTTCTTTCTTAGTTATATTTTCAAAACTAAAAAAAATCACGAATGTACATTTTTTGCTTAAAATTATAAAACAAAAGTGATTAGCTTTGGCAGGTAAAATAATGTGATAACCTCAATGAAAATTATCAATAATTAATAGACAAACGAAAGAGGAACAATTATTAAAATTGATTACTGGCAGCACATATGATTATACGATATGCATGTTGTTTCCGGTACAACACGTGACTGCCTGTTTTAACTCTATTTTGATTTAATATCGTAGACAGTTTTTCAATTAATTGAAATTGCAAGATTTGGGTTCAAGTAGAATGCATATAAATCATGAAAATTATTAGCATGCACACAGAAAATAACGATGCATGAGCATATGTACTAGTATGCGGTAATGTATATTATTCCATGTATATTGACATCTATGTGAGTCAGATTTTCATTGATTTTAAGATTGTAAATGACAATGAACAGACAGTAGTTTGTTACTAACTAGTACATGATTCAGACGGAGACAACAGTATGTGCCTGAGGTACTAGTTTATATTTACTTACAGCATACGCAGTGATGGCAAACTCGTTATGTATGCAAAACCAGCAGTCTGCTTGGTAGTCTGCGTCATGCGAAAGCTCATATTGCTGTCTGACGTAGTACATATAAATACATTGCATACAAACCCTTAAGAGACTTGGTGCATAGAGAAAAACGTTCCTCTTCCAAATTCTTGTGCATATGAATTAGTTTTCGTTTACCTGGGTTTAATTTTGGGAAATGGGGATTTGTTTTTGGAAGTCGGTTGTCATGCAACAGCATGTTTGGGCTTACACAACTGGAGCCGACTAGATGCGTGCCTATTGTTTTAAATATCCTCATATGTAGTCACAAATTCTCGTAAAATGCACATAAATTGTTTGACAGGAGGCAGCATCGCTGTTATATACGATACAATGCTCAGGTTTCAGATGTCTAGTTTCATAAAAGATTTCGGAGTCGTAGTATCTGTTGGTATTCCCATGGTATCAATTATAAGACCATAGCTAAGAACAATGTGATTTGTATTGGAGGAAACAATAGTTTCCCTCGATAAAACAGCTCCCTTGGAACTGTTTATCATAATAATTGATTAAACGACTACATCTATTTGTGCCATAACGGATCATTTGGTGACCATTCTGTAAGAAAATACGCGCGATATATATATATATGAAAAGCAAGCATCATACTTACGGAATGCCTATTCCACAACTACAATAGAAGCGAACATAAAATCAACATCTATATCAAGTCTTGACTTTAATCAAATAAATAGAAACGTATGTAATACCCATCTCCTTTACAATGGTGAATTGTCAGTTATGAAATAAGCAATTTAAGATAGTTTGACTTACAATTAATCAATGGATATCAGTGTACACAGCACACTGTTTAAACAGCGATCGATATGTAGATGTTGTAAATCTGTCGCACACGTTTGTATACATGGTTGAAAATACAGGGGAAGAATCATCGGTTGGTTTGGAATCGGTGCCGTAATGCTGTGGCGAGAACAGCTAAGTTCTCCGGGAGTCTGATGGTGATTTGTTAAATTAGTGGTATAAATACAATTGTAGCATGCAATTTCCAATTGACTTTGGGTGCTTTTGTTCGTTTTATTAAACCTTTAACCGACTACTTGAATTGCAATTCTCAAGGGAGCGAGCTTCCTTTAAATGTAGCATAGCATACAAGGAAAACAACTATATAAAGCGCGCTGTGCATTGAAAGGCAGTGGGAATGGGTAATTAGTTTTTTTTAAACCAACGACACAAACAATAGAACAGTCGCATATTGTCGGGCCTAACTAATATCCGATTTCAACCTAAATTAATTTTGATACAAGGTAACATTTTAGGAGAATGGCCTAACATTCTCAGTACATATGTACGATTAACTTCAGGTTAAAGTCATAGTGTGGCCTAGATACTCCAGAAATGGAATTATTGCATTGTTTGAAGACCTCATACAACGTCTATACAAAATGAATAATGGAGTTCAAACAAACAAAGATCACTGCATTTGATGATGAACTTAAACAACGTTTTAAATATCAAATGAAAATGATTAAATATTAACAATTAACAAACTATGTAAACCTTTATGTCTTGCTTTGTTACGAATTATGTGAATGGTGAAAAGTAACATACGACAAAAAATAGTTTATGTAAGTATTAATGTCTATCCTTTTTTATTTAAAAAAACCTGCACTCTAAGTAAGCAATTATTGTTCGAGTTGTCTCCCGTTTAAATCACTCTCTAGATAAAATGGCCCTGATTATAACTATTTTGAGCATTAAGCCACTATTTCTTAAACGTTTTTCTCAACAAGTGAAGACAGTTAAGCCAATCGCAGCGGTTATTGGAAAATTTTCACTAGATTTAGTTTCGAGATTCCCTATCGTGCGATGTTATATCTTTTTTTCTCCGCGAGAAGTGGAATTTAAAAAAAGCATATTTTTTTCATTGATAGAAATTTCAATTGACTTATGCATCATATCATCGGCGGTTACCAACAAAGGCCGTCCATGTGCAGTATGTTAGTCATACTGTCATTAACGTTTGAAAAGTTTCAGATTCAATCCGTATATTGATGTTTAACAAGTTTTTGACCTGAAATGATAAAAAGGATGGCAAAATCGATATACACAGCTTAAACGAAAAATGTTACTACTGAAAATTATTTCTGTCAAAATCATTGGTGATATCAGGACTATGTCATATGAGGATGGAGCCAGTGACGATTAGACCATACAAAGGGTCATTTTATTGTGATAAGGTGCATAAGATGACAAGGACAACGAAAGAAAGAGTAGAGTGTTGGAAATAAACGATACAAACCCCGAGTGTTGCAACATCAGACACCAGATTTGTTGTGCTGTCTGGTAATGTCAGAACACTTGTATAAACAGGTACAGTGTATAATTTAAGTTGACAGAACAATTGTAATATGTTGTTTTGTTGTCACTATCCTAGCTTTTGCTATGGCGTATCTTTTGCTTGACCTTTATTAACATAAAATGTGTCGGCGATGAAGTAAAAAGACGCATATACCCCTCCGGGAACACCTGGTATTATTCTCCTTGTTCTATTTCAATGGTCTCAAGTTGTTGCCCTAGTTTTTTTCGATTTTGAGTACAAATAATAGCCTTGTTAACACTCCGGTATTATCTTATTGCTATTTTAAATGTTTTATTCCAGTAATGAGTGCGTGTAAGCTAATCACTTCTTTCTTAAGTCGAAAATTGTGGAATATAAGGTCGCAGGGTGCAAATCTTCAAAACTGCAATGTTTCATTACTCAGGATGTTATCAAATCAAGGTGACTGAAGGTGTTCATCAGTCGGTTGTGTTACACTTATGTTTAATCAACACCCCTGCATTTTAATGAATGGGCTAGTAGTTAATATAAAAAGGCAAATGTGTTGGTAATACTGTTAATGTATAGTTTTACGGCATGTACCGGTGTTTCACAATGGCGCCTTGATCCCCTTATTGCTGAGAAGCCCTACATTTAACACCCTCGTACCACCGTGTCGATTGCAATAGAAATACAATCCTACTGAAATCAAAACACGAACTTGCAAAATGTGTACGGACTAGCACCTCAACACTGGAAATACTGAAAATTGTTCTGCGTTCGGTAATTATAATGATGCTATTGGAATGATCAATCTTTGGTGCGAGACTTTGAATGGAATGATGTAATGAGTATCTCGTGTACTTTTGCGCGGATTACAAAGCAACATTATTGCAGAAAATTGATCTCCCGGGGCACAGCCTTCTCATGGTTGTTAAATGACGACCTATCCTTAATTTTAAAACGTATCCTTTAAATTGTGAACCGCATTTAAAGGCATAATTAAATTTTCAACCATTTTTGCATAAATAATACTTGTACCCATGTTATAGGTATACTGTGCACGAGCGACGTTATTCTAAAATAAAATAACTGTGATACTGTACATTTACATAAAGCATTGATGCAAAATCTGATTTGAGTCTGATTGGGATATTTTTTAATCCATTGTTGCTCTTTGCGCTATTATCGGATAGCGAATATAAACTTTATCCTCGATATTTAAAATTGCAAAAAGAAAGAAAGAAAGGCATTGCCTTGCCTACCGTTGTGATATTTACGACAGTAACCCCGAATTTGATAGGCGTACTTTATACAAGGAGTTTGAATATGAATGAAGT